CCTTTTAAGGAATCGTTCGGCTCGTTCTCCTCGCACCTTTAAGTCCTTCCAGGTCTTTGGCGGTGCCATCCCTATAGCTTCGAGGATGTCCAATGAAAGGTTATTATGACACGTCTCGAGGATGAAGTCTTCGCTGACTGGATCCCTGCAGTTCATTGCTTTGTTTCGGAATCTCTTCACGAAGTTTTCAACTGTCTCACCATTTTTCTGCTTTTCATCAAATAGAGTGCCGATTGAGACCTCGGTGTCGTCGTCGAAGAAGTTCGTTAGAAACATATCCTCCATGTCGTCTCAACTACTGATACTCCCCGGCTTGAGGCGACGATACCAATCGAAGGCCGCTCCGCGAAGAGTGCCAACGAATGACCGCACCATTAAGGGTTCATTCCCGGAGATTATTCCTAAGTGGGACTTAAAATATATTAAGTGTTGGGTAGGGGAACCCTTTCCGTCAAACGGCGTAAAGTTGATTAAGTTGAACTTTGCCGGATATGGAATTGATTCCCACTCCCTTGGGTATGGACATGGTATGCCGGACCTCTTCACTTCTTGAGCATTCATCAACGCGTTGATTTTGCTCTCCAAATCCTTCATTTTCTTGTCTTCACTCGTATCTGTCTTCGAGTGGTTTCTGGGAGAGGTAACGTGGTCTTCCTTCGTATTATCATCTGAAGGACCGCCTCCATTATTGTTGTTGACAGGAGGGATAGTTATGTTGACATTATCCTCTTCCCGTTCATTCTCCTCTTGATTCGGATTATTGTGACGACTGGGTTCTCCTTGGTGAGTTGTCAGAGCCGCGATTTGCTGGTCATGCATCTCTCTCATCTGTTGCATGGCCATCTCCATCTCGAATTTGAAAGCTTCCTTCTGCTTAGTCAATGCATCTTCAAGCATCTTGCTTACTTGTTCGGCGCTGATCATAAATGATTCGTAAGGCTGTCCCGCCCTCTGCCGGTCATATTAGCAGACACTTCTAGGAATTCGTCCTCTTGGCGGACAGGTTTCTTCCTACGGAAATGCCTTGGCTTGGTCTCGGACGTTCCGGTGGAAATTCTCTCGAACACCGAAACTCTCCTTGGGGCTTTAGTACAGCAGCATTTCGACAGTACTGCCTTGATTATGTTGGCACACGGACAGTGAGATTCCGTGTCTCGAGCATCTCTCTTTCGAGATTTACCCGCACCCCCAGCTCTATAGTACAACTCATCAGTTTGATAACTGGAGCAACCCATAGAGTGTTGGCATGACTTCCCAGGTATAACACAATCATCATCAGACGAATGTGTTTCCCTCTGGGGATATGACGCTTTATTAGCGTTTTCAAAAGTCGCTCGTTCAAGTCTACGCTTTTGCGAGCGTAAAAACTTAACGGGCTCTTGAACTTCGACACGCAACCCAATGCGGTCGGTAACAGGGGCTTTCCCTTTGTTATCTTTTTTGGAGGGATTAACACGACCCCCAGTCTGGTTCGTTATTTGGGGACCTTTCAATGGTCCCAATCGCTCCTTGACAGGTGCTTTACCTCGGTTCTCCGGTAAAGGACCGAGACGACCTTTCAAAGGAACCCTGGATCTAGAAGGACCCACGTTCTTACCTGACTCCGCCGGAGGTGCGGGGGCAAGGGAGACGGGATCTGGATTTGATGAAGGTTGGACGGCATTTCCGTCCACTTTTGCTTTTGGTGCCGGTTTTTCCTTTGGCACCCACATCTGCTTGTGTTTTGACGGCTTCTTGACCGTCTCTTCTTTCTGCATCTCTTCCGCTTTCTGCAGAAGGACTCGGGCATGCGCAAGCAATGCGCGGCGTTTCTTAATTCGCTCTTCGAGGGTTGAGCGAGTCCTCTTGACGCGGACCCATTCATTTGTCTCCGCTTTAGAGGAGGAGTTAGTTGTGCGCCGTTGTTGCTCTTGGCGCTGTCTGGATTTGAGATCCTCATTGTAGCGGATCCCGTCCATCGATTCTGCGGCCTTGGCCAACTGTCGCGCAAGGCGTTGACACCGTCTTTGGCGCGCCCTCTTCGACAAGGCTGGAGCAACCTCGACACTTGTCTTTACGGCGGAGGGCAGATCTGGATCTGCAACTTCAACCACGTTGGACGTCATAGGAACGTCGCGGGGAGTAGTTGCAACAGCAACGAAGGGATCCCGGATCTTCGATTCGGAGGTCCCGCGAGCATTTCTGGAAGATGGAGTCTTCCTGCGCCTGTTTGGAGAGGCGGATCTGGAGGTCGTATTCGATCTCTTCGTTCACCCGGATCTTGAAGGCCGGTTGCGTCACGACGGCCTCGGCAGCGAGGCCGTTGGCTCCCACTGTAGTCGCCAGCTTGTTTTTGTCGAAAGTTGCCTTCATCATTGATTTCATTAAAACTTCAAACATTTACAAATGAATTCAAACAACAAAGAAATAAAAAATTACAACTTTCTTGAAAATAAACACAAGATCCGTTCGTCGTCTCTTACTTGCGTGGGTCTTTGGCCTGTGACGGGGACGTCGATATCCGTGGACTGCCTGGAGATCAGATCTGATCCAGAGCTTCGTCGATCCGCAAGGAGATCTAGAAACTTGAAGCGCCTATCTCGGATAAAGCGAGATATTTGCTCTTCTTAGTATCACCACAACGGATAATACTAAGGATCGGGTACGGGTGATGTAGATCTGACGAAGAACTCTCTTTGTATTGAAGTGCTCGATCACTCTTCACTCCGGCAGGGCTTCGCCTATTCTCCAAAATTCCAGATCTGAAAAAATGAGGCCTAAGGCTTGTATTTATAGGCATGAGGGGTTGCGGAGCGGTTAAAACGGACTACAGGGCCCAAATCCGCGTTGGGACACCCCTGGGGTGTCTCGAAAAATCCAAGACACCCTTGGGGTGTCTCGGAAAATCCGAGACACCCCCGGGGGGGGAAAATCCGAGACACCCCTAGGGTGTCTCGGAAATTCCGAGACGCCCTTGGGGTGTCTCGGAGGGTGTCTCGAAAATTCCAAGACACCCTTGGGGTGTCTCGCATTGACCGAGACGCTCCGTTAAGGTGCATTCGTCCGCTTCCGCTGTAAATTCTTCGTCCGAACTCGGATTTTAGTTATTCGAAGTGCGTTGGAAGTCTGACGAAGAGTTCTATCAGCTCCGATGGTTGGATTATCTGTAGGATGAACGAGACACGAAGGGCGTTGTTCCTTTTGTAAACATCGCGGGGCTCTCGATTAGCCCGTGCCTTCGTAGTTCCGCAATTCTGTCGGCTCGCGTAGTTCGTCGATTCACTTCAAGCGTTCACCGACTTCAATTGAACTGCTGTGAACCAGATAGTGACGTTCATCGTCGTTCCTTAATACTGAGCTGTTCGTAGAGACCTATAGGCGATTTTCGATGCCTACATCCACCACCAAATCGGCGAACCAAGCGGCCCACGTGCTCACCGACCACCACCAAGTGGGCCGCACACCCATCGGCCACTAAATCGATGAGCCAACTGGCCCGTGCACTCGCCAGTCAGCTCCAAGTGTCCCGCATGCTCACCGGCCACCACCAAGTGGCCTGCACGCCCATCGGTCACTAAATCGGCGAACTAAATGGTCCGCGTGCTCACCGGCCACCACCAAGTGGCCCGCACGTTCATCGGCCACCAAAATAGCGTACAGATCAACTAAACAATGAAATACGCGTAACGACTGAACGAGTCAAAACCGAGAAAACCAAGAAAGCCTCTGGCGGCCGGATCACGTCAAAACGATCTGGTCGGGCCAGTGGCTCGGCCCAAGGCCGAGCCACCATTTGGTGGCCCGGCCAGGCCCCCGGCCAGGCCGAGCCACCGGGTGACGTCTCGGCCTGTTTCGATCTAAAAGTGTGATTTTTTGGTTTTGATAGTTTTCTTGGGATTTGTTTGTTCCTGAGCATCCCAACTGGTCCGATACTATGGTTAATTTGTTCTTAACTGAAGATAAGAAGGAATCCCTCCTTCTTATCCAAATACCGGCTTCCGAGGCTTATAAATACGAGCTCGGGTGCTCATTTCTCAGGGCTGGACATCAAGAGGGTGAAACGCTGCCGAATTGGAGAGTGGAGCCACGAATTTACAGCAAGGGTTAGCAGATCTTGGCGATCTCCTGTGCATAAATAGTGGAGTTCGAGAGATCTTAGACCTGTCCCCTATTCCTCCGGATTTAAGCTTGGTCTTAAATCTCAAGAAGAGTCGTGATCTCGTTTGGTCGAGATCATCGCTGCAGCGATTATTTCCTTCGTGAAGAAAGAGCTTTGATCAACTTAATTTGTCAACCGGATCTGATCCGCGGCGGTCCACGGATATTAACTTCCCCGGCACAGGCAAAGTTCCCACGCAAGCAGCGGATGATAAACGTGCGTTGTGCTGTTTGACAAGAGTCGTATCTTTTTTATTTTTATTGTATAAGAAGATCTTATAAAGAGATCAACTTTTTATTTGAGTTTATTGTAAACGATTAAAGTTGTAATAGGTATAAGAAGATCTTATAAAGAGATCAACTTTTTATTTGAGTTTATTGTAAACGATTAAAGTTGTAATAGATTCAATCACAATGAAAACAGTTTATTGTAAACGATTAAAGTTGTAATAGATTCAATCACAATGAAAACAACGATTTTTGACCCAAACACTAATATGGCGTACTCTGGCTAAAAAAAGAGGCCAATTTTGTTGATGTTCACTTTTTGGCCTGACACATGCTCATATTTATTTAAGATCTCCAAAATTTTCTTGCAATCATGCATACTTGCTGAAGTAAAAAATGCAGGCTATCATTAGCGAATAACAAGTGAGATGTATGCGATCCTTGACTTGCAAACTCAATGCCCTTTACAGTTACCGCATCTACCTCCCTCTGTATTAATGCTGACAAGCCCTCTGCACATAATAGGGATAAATATCGAGATAATAGATCACCATTGCTCAATCCTTGCCCCAATTTAAAGAAATCTCTAAGCTTACCATTTATCATTACCAATAAAAAAAAGTAGTGGTAACACATTACGTCACAAGGCGCACCCATGACTCAGCAAACCCCAACTTTAACATCATAGCTTGAAGATAATCCCATTCAAAACTATCATATGCCTTTGACATATCAAGTTTTACCGCCATCTTTTGTGTGCACCTAGGTTTATTTGATTTCATACAGTGCATCGCCTCAAATGTAACAAGCACATTGTCAGCGATTAACCGCTCTAGTGTAAAAGCACTTTGATTGGTTGAGATAATCTTTGGTAGCACCTTCTTTAATCTATTAGCTAAAGCTTTAGATGCGATCTTGTATAGAACATTGCAAACAAAAATTGACCGAAATTTTGTGATACACTTTGGTTGCTTCACCTTCAGAATCAAAACAATATGGGTGTATTTCCCATTAATACCTTAGCACGACTAAAGTTACAAGTAAGATTAGCATTCATCACCTCTGTCACTTTCAGTATAACACAATCCAGAATATTATCCATCTCTCGACTTGGGCTTGCCATGAATAGTCGCTGAAAGTATAGTTTATAGGAAGCTGACTCATCATCTCCTCCTCCGTACCTATGCTCCACCCCATTCTCATCTTTTAACACCTCGATCCGGTTCTTCTTCCTTCGTTGATTAGCCTTAGCATGGATAAATGATGTATTTTTATCTCCATATCGAAGCCACAATGACCGGGATATATCTTTTGATGTCACATTGTTTAATTTCTTCCATTGCTAAATGTTGTTCAATCTCCCTCATCAACTTTGCTTCTTTCTTATTAATTTCTAATACTTACATTAACACATCTAAGTTAGTTATTAATAATATGTTTTAGTTTCCTCTAACATCTCATGTACAATGTTCTGCTTAATAATGGAAGGATTATTGTACCTTAAAAATTAAGAAACATATAAGAAGCATTTTTTACTACGAAGATTAAAAAAAAGTTGAAACAAATTATTTAAACAATATATAGACCAGAAAAGAGACTGAAATTGCATGATATATAGCAAATCAAGACATTATATGAATGACCAAGAGGATGAAATAGCTTGAATTGATCAGGATGCAGTGCCTATAACAACATGATAAGAGTACATATATTAGTATTTATAGCGCTTATATACTCTTTATCAAATTTGAGTTTGTATTAAACTATTTATTGGTATATTTACATAAAGTTTATTTATAAAAAGTCAAATAAGCCTTTCAACATAAACCAAATGAGGGTTAATTAATTAGGATTTTTAATTCCGTAAACCATAGACAAATAACATTTCTCATGTATATAGTGTTTTTCAAGAATTACAAAATTTTAAATTCATAAATTGAAACAAATTAAGCAATACAATTATGTATATTTAGACCCAAAAATCAAATTTGAACGGAAGCTCAATTTCCTAATTCTAACTAAACCAGAATTATAAACCAGCTTAAATTTTGCAATAAAAGTTTCATCCTAACTTTAAAATAGGCAAAATGAATTCTTAACAGTACAAGTTACAAGGATTCTCCCACGACATGAACACGCACAAAGGCCCCCCTACAATGCCAACCGTACAAGAACTTGCAAAAAAAAAAAAAAAAAAAAAAAAATTGCAAAAACAGCAGCTAGCACTTATTATTCCTCAAACATCAACCTAAACCATAAACCCTAAAACTGCTTCCCTTCAAAATTCTGTCCAAACTGCCAGTTCGCCGGAACAACGTTCACCGACTCAACGGTCCTCCCATCACTGGCGGTCACTCTGAAACTCAAGCTCTGTCCCAGCAGTTGCTCGCCCGTCTGCCAATTCTGCCCCCAGTTCCTCGTCATCGCGTACCACGCGCCGCCCTTCGAGCCCTTCACAGACACCCCGGTCACCTGCCCCGTCCCCGCTACGTTATAAACCAGAACAAGAATCCAGTATGGGTTGCCCTTGATCTCGAACCTCATCCCGCCTGTTTTGATGCAAGGAACTCTTCTGTATTGCACGGGCACGATGCCCACGTGGTAGTCGTTGACGATTTTGGTGAACATGGGCATGGAGAGGTCGAAGTGCTTGCGTGGGGGGTTCCGCCGTTGTCGCTGGGTTTGGATGCGTTCGGCGGGCAGAAGTTGGTGGCGGTGATGGTGGATGGCGGTGCTGTGCAGTACTTGGGGTTTCTCGGTGCCCTGGATCTGGAAGCAGGCGCCGCAGGTGAGGCCGTTGTGAAGAGGCGGTGCTAGGGGGCGGGTTTTCGAGGCTTGAAGAGGTCGCCATAGCCGCAGGCTCCTTCTGCACGTCGTCGCGAGAGACGGAACGAGATGTCATTTATTTAACCTCTCAAAGCGTTGACTTGAAAAGGGTATATATTAAGGGAAAATCTTTTTTTAACCCAAAGTTTTACTTCAACTTATTTTTAAACCCATCTTCTTCCATTATGATCCATACACCCAAAATACAACACCCACTTATTTATAAACCCAAAGTATCACTTATTTATAAACCCAAAGTATCAAATACACCATATTTCTGGTGCTCCTCCCACTCAAAAAAAACCCTAAAACACTCAAAAACACTCGACTACTGACGCATCGTGTTTATTGGCCGATTATCCACCGCGTCGGGCTGTCCTCGTTGAATTTCGAAGCTTCAGGCAAAGTATAGCACTTTACGGGAAAGTATAGCACCTTATGGCCAAGGTATAGCAGCCTTAATGGCAAAGTATAGCACCTTCAATGGGCAAATTATAGCAGCCTTAAGGTCAAAGTATAGCACCTTATGCTCTCTTAAAAATTCTGCACAATCAAAGTTTGCGAGAAACCATTTTAGTTTTTTTTGCCCGCGCAACGAAAACATGTCGACGATCGACGCATCGTATTTATTGCCGACAATGCATCTTAGACCGGTCGGGCGTGCCTCGCTGAATTTCGAACTTCAGGCAAAGTATTCACTTTATGGGGAAATATGCACCTTATGACGCAAAGTAATAGCACATTATGGTAAAATATAGCATCTTATGGCAAAATATAGCACCTTATAGGCAAAGTATAGCACCTTATACCCAAAGTATAGCACCTTATCTCTCAGGCGGTCCTCGCTAAATTTCAAAGCTGCAGAATTTCCAGAGAGCATAAGGTGCTATACTTTGGGCATAGGGTGCTATACTTTGCCCATAAGGTGCTATACTTTATCATAAGGTGCTATACTTTGGCCGTAAGGTGCTATACTTTCCCGTAAAGTGCTATACTTTGCCTGAAGCTTCGAAATTCAGCGAGGACCGCCCGACGCGGTAGATGATTGGCCAATAAATACGATGCGTCGATCGTCGAATGTTTTCGTTGCGGGGAAAAAAACTAAAATGGTTCTCGACAACTTGATGTGCAGAATTTTTAGAGAGCATAAGGTGCTATATACTTTGACCATAAGGTGCTATACTTTGCCCATAAGGTGCTATACTTTATCATAAGGTGCTATACTTTGGCCATAATGTGCTATACTTTCCCGTAAAGTGCTATACTTTGCCTGAAGCTTCGAAATTCAATGAGGACGGCCCGACGTGGTGGATAATCGGCCAATAAACACGATGCGTCAGTAGTCGAGTGTTTTTGAGTGTTTTAGGGTTTTTTTGAGTGGGAGGAGCACCAGAAATATGGTGTATTTGATACTTTGGGTTTATAAATAAGTGATACTTTGGGTTTATAAATAAGTGGGTGTTGTATTTTGGGTGTATGGATCATAATGAAAGAAGGTGGGTTTAAAAATAAGTTGGAGTAAAACTTTGGGTTAAAAGAAGATTTTCCCATATATTAATTCTGACCTTTCGACGAGTTCATGAACGCCGGTTATTTTGGGGGGGTTAATTGAAAAATTGAAACGTTTATAAACGAAGCTTGTTACATTATCTTGGAGGAATATTTGAAATTCACCCTAATATATAATTTACGTTGAAGACTAGAAACCCCTAGGTCCAGTTCTACCCATGGCTCCCACACTCATAATTGCATGAAATATTTTTAAGCAAAGAGAAAAAGTTTATGATGACATTATCCAAAAAATTCCTTAAAACTAATCAAAATTATCTAATTTTATCATTTCTGCCAAAGTCAAAAATACAAATTCTAACCACCGAACAACTTTGTTCAAGCACATCAACCGTTTGTTTTAAACAGGAAAAAACTCAAATAATACAGAAATTAACCGTACTATAGTGAGGTGGCATATTAGAGAAATAAAAAAAAAATAAAATAAAATGAACTCACGCATAGTTTCGGCACCACTCATATCTCCATAGAAGGTGGCAAAGGCTTTATCCCATCCTTGTGCATCAACACTTGAAAACAAAAGAGAGCCAATAATCGCTGTAAAACAAAACCAGTACATGGCCATAGATAAATAATAATAATAATTGAATCAAACAAAAATATTTCAAGTCTTTGTTCATGTTTTAAGACGGAAATTGGTATTTATAAGTAAAAATAAGGAGGCAGGTGAGAGTAATTCATTTTGAAAAATAGGAAAGGAAAAATAAGGATCAGATTGTAGGAAGTATTGCTGGAAAATTAACAGTCTGAGATGTTTCCTTCTAAAATACGTCATGTTACCATAATTTGTATGTTTTAAATAGGAAAAAGTTTTCTACCATAAGTTTTCATTTTTTAAATATGGCATGTTATTTATGGAAAAAAACCAAATTTTATGCTAATAAGTATTAGTGGTTTTAATAAAATTGCCCAATCTCTTCTGTGTCAATTTACAGTTTCTTATCTATTGCTTCTTTCAGGATTTCCAAGTACATGGAATCATGCTTATTTTAAGTTCCTTTTTATGATGTATCTATATTACTAAGCTTCTTTTTGTATTTATAAAATGAATAAACGATAATTTTAAAATCTTTCTTATGAAAATTAGTTGATTAATTTTTATTTCTTCAAAAATGGTCAACATTCTCCTTCTGAATTTGTTTGAATGGACTAAAAACTAAATTGTTGATTAATATCAATTCTAAAAATTAAAATTCCTTTTGC